ATTTCTTAACATCTTCAGCAACTTGATGGTGGTGAGAAAACTTGGTCTATTCAAACAGTTAATCGGATACTCGATTTATTTTTAATTTTTTTTGGGAGACGATTTCTGGAATTGCATTGTAATTGTTGTATATAATTTTTCTCTATTTTATGAAGTCTGGGATGCAAACAGAAATGATACCAAGATAAGGATGCAACGGTTCTATATGAACAATCATATGGACCTACAGAATTTGTACTATCACACAAATTAGATGACTTTGTAAAACTAGCACGTAACAGAGTAGATGACTTGAATTATCATTTTACGAATAATGAGAATTGTACAACTACCATGGCAAAGAAATTGAAATCTGTTGGGATTAACGGATACAGTAAGTATATATTTTTGTTATATATACACTAATTATAATTTACTAACTTGGTCTAACTCTTTTTTTAGAATATCTAATCTCAGTATATCTTATGGACATTATTCGTATAAAGACTTACAGAATATACGAAATATTTTCCTTTAATTCCTACGTCATACTCTGAAAGATAGGAGTTATTAAATATTGTTAGACTTGGTGTCCTTTTGGAGGTATTATTTATTTTTAATATCAAATATATCTTATTCACGATTTGTTCATTAAAGTTCTACTTCTAACTATTGTAGAAATTGCTGATGGAGAATGCATTAAAAATTGATGATACCCGTTGTGTTCGTGATTGGATAAACACGGACAAAAATACCAGACAACACTCCTCCAGCCACTTCTCGACATCGGACTCAAACACTTGTGAAATCATCCAGGAATACAATTAAACGCCGACATAATTAATATTTTTTCAATTATGTTGATGACCAGGATGATTATAGTTATTCCCATGGTTTGAGAAGCTAGTGTGATACTTGGGATATGATTACGTTAGTCACGAGAATAAAAATGAATACGATATTATATTATAATATACTTGTTACAAACTGCTATAAATCAATAAAATTGCTATAAATTGTTTAAATCACTAAAAATCGTTATAAACTGCTTTTAGTTTTCAGACTTATCAATTATATACATTATATTAAGCACTTTGAGCAGGAAAACAAATACAAAAACATTCCCCACTCCAAAAGTATTGTATTAGATTTTCGCATGGGTACAGATGTCAGAAATTTGCTTGGCATCTCCTTTATAATAAGCCTTCTAGTACTTTCACTATAAAGAGGTCAGATGGAGAAGATCAACATATTGAGTTGTCGAAATGCAAGTTTAGGTTTACAATTGGAGATGGGGATGAATTAGAGAAACTTCTTCAAGAGGCACAGGCAAAAACGGCAATGGTGGACATTAAGGTGGCAGAGGGAAGATTGGAAGAAGAGGAATTGAAAAGTAGAAAGCGTAAGCATGAAGAGGAAGAAGAGGAATTGAAAAGTAGAAAGCGTAAGCGTGAAGAGAAGCATGAAAAGGTAGATGATTTGAAGTGGAAGATAGAATTTTGGAATGAGCAAGGACACATGGATAAAGTCAACAAATTTAGACAGGAGCTTTATGAACTGATGGATGATTGATTTGACATGTAGTCAAAGTTGTAACAAGATTTAGTGCAGAATTGAATAAAGCTTAACGTTGTAACGAGACTATTTTGTTCTTAGATCATAAAGCCAGCCAGAGGTGATATAATTACATCGTAGGGTGATGCTAGTATAAAGAGTTTATATTTCCGATGTCGTGCTTATATTATAGAGCATGTTACCCTGCAACATTCTTCTATGTTTAAATTAATAGTGTTTCTACTTGATATTGACGATCAAGGAAGCAGATAGTCATAATGTTATAGTGTACAAAACATGCGTAGCGGAACGCAGAATATCGAAAAACAAGATAATAGAACCCGCAAACACAGAATCATATGTATTGAAAAAGTCGAGGAGCTAATATGTCAACGGGGGACATTTACATATCACCGTGCTCCTTCCAGACCAGATTCTAAAATTAGTTCACTTTACGTATCCATCGCGCGCTCAACGAGAAACCGAGATCCACCTATAAACGAAAATACAATAATACAAATAATACAAGCTAAATAATAACAATAAACTTTGTAAAATTGGATAACTATAATCAAAGATTACGCACAAAAGTGCAACGACCAATAACTATTCGATCAGCAAAAAATAATTTAATGCCACGCTAATAGAATATTTCCATTTAGTCCTCTGATTAACACATATCTATACACAATTGTATCTATCGTATCCCCTTGTCCTGACTGAGATCAATCCTTCTTTCGGTGACCCCCATTATGATGAAAACGCGCATTATAACTCCCACGCCCACGACCTCTGCCGAACCCACGTCGTCCGCCGCCGCCATAACCGCCTCTATGGGGGGAGTAAGTTTTCTTCAGGTTTACGGTTAGCTTGTTGCCTCCTAGCAACTGATGTGTATAAAGAGGAAAATGCAAGATAGAAGGAGGTTATATAATAGAGCAATAACTAACGTGCTGATGAACAGGATGGAAACCCAGTAGGTACAGACTCGACTATTAAAGCCAATTTTACTTACCTGTCCATCGAGCTGAAGTGCACGATCGCACGATTCCTTATCTACAAAATCAACGTATGCGAAGTCTTTTCTTCGTTGACTATTCGAGTCTATCGGAATACTGACCTTTTCGATCTTTTGGGACAATGCAGTATGGTGAAGAGATGGTGGTTAGAATCACAGATGTAATAAAATGGTTGTAAATACTTGAAATCATCTATGCATGAATTACCCCCGATGCATCACCACCAAAGAACTCTCTTATTTCATCTTCATTCGTCTCGGGTGTTATTTTCCCGATGTATGCTGTATATCCATGTCTCTGCTATTTGAATTGGGTGAATCAAGAACGGTAGATACCAAAGTTAGTGTCAATTCTTTGAAATACCACCAGTCTCAATATATTATATTGTTCAATCACTCATCACACGTCTCTTCACTTACGTTTTCATATCTGTTCTCACGATTTCCATAAGAGCTCGATCGTCCTGACTCTGTCCTGTCGTCCTCATCTTGTTGTCCTTGTCCGTCTGCATCCCGTTCATCGTTCCCCTTCATCATACTACCATATCCATCCTCTTTTGCGAATTCGTTGGTAGTCTGGTCAGCCCATGTTTGATTAGCCTCGTAAGCTGTTGAGTCGCCGAGGGGGTACGATTGTGGCTGAGGAAGGATAAAGGAAGTAGTATAAGAACCATACAAAGAAATCGTAGCAGGGAAGTGTGGGGATGGTTGGTAAGGGTGGTTGGTAGGGGTGTTGATACGATAAAGTTTCAGAATTTGTTACATATGAATATGATGGAACCATAGATTGAAATCCAGCAGTACTTGCCTGCTGCAATAAAGAGTTGGCATTGCCACCATCTATACTGCTTTCTACTGTAGTTCTTTGTTGTCCGATGTCACTAGAAGATTCATTCCAAGTAGCAATTCCGGCTGACGACGAGTTTGTAGTGTACTCAGTAACGTCACCTCCATCGACGTTATCACTCGTATTCGTGTTCCTGGCGTTACTACCAACACCAGTGGCACTTGCTCCACCGCTATCCATCGTCAATGGTGAAGACGAACGTAGTGGTGATGGATCGCGATTAGCCGAGTTTTGGGGTCGCAACCCAGGAGACGAAACATTTCGCTGCCATTGAGCTTGAGCTTGACGAGTAAGTATAGGAGACGATGGGTTAGGGCTCGATGGAGTTTGTAACGTGACCTGAGTCCGCGGAGCCTGTGTTGGTTGACCGTTGTTCCGGCGATAGGTGAAATTGAAACCTTGAGGTGTGATACGTATGAAAGTTACATGAGATACGAATTAACGACTCAACGGTTGAGAAACAGATCTTAGGTCAAAGGCCGGTTTATATAATTCAATTGTTATACCTTGAGCTTTAGTCTCCGCTGATATTCGCCCATTGGTGACTTCCAGCAACAAGTGTCCAAAAGCAGCATCCGATAGATTAAAATTCCACATATTCTTGAATGCCGGCTCTTCTTTATCTCTATCCGCTGTAGGAACACGATTAATAACGCCCAATGCATTGTCCAACAAAACTTTCTGTGAGGCACTGTAATGAAAATTCACAGATCCGTCAATAAACGCTTTATATGAAACCGTTATAATAACCGATCAATTTCAGCCATTCATAGACTTTAATTACGGTATCACTTATATTCGAGAAACATACTCAATCTTGGCTTCGACTTGCGACCTAATAGTCGAGTACGTCTCAAGAAAAGTTCTTTTCGAATTTTCTAGTTTTGTTCTGAAGCTTTCCTGGTCACTTCGTACGGAGAACTCGTTATATGAAATTCCATAGCGGAAATGAAGACCAGCTGAGATCGTGAAGTCAGCCTACGAGAGTGTGAGTGTGGGAAGAGAATAGCGGTAATTAAGATTGAGACAAGCGCACGAGCGAATATTCGTAATATTATTATCAAGCACGGTTAATTAGTAGATAACTATAATTACAGATAATAATCCTGCGGATTAACTAAAAAGTAAACTCTCCAATCAATTTGTATCGACAATAAGAATTCTATACACTACATAGTGCTCGTTCCAACATAAACTTACCCTAAGCGTTATTGCCAATTGGGTTAACAGTCCATGTCGTCCGGGACTTGCTTGAGTGACTAACACTCTCGTTTCGGTGGGATCATAATGCTTGATGGCGATAATAATTTGCGTGAGCATGCAAGCAAGCACACAACACATAATACGTTAAATAAAATCAGGGGGAAAGGGATGATCAAGTTACCCTTTGAGCAGTGTCGACCAGTTCACCAATTTGTAGGATAGTGGTCCACATAGTGCCTGCTCCACCTGCGATCGTGCCAATTCCTAAAATATAGATGAGTGAATTAGAACAGTGAAAAGAGGATCACATATACCATTCTGTGAATTATTATGTACACAAATATGTCGTTGTTTAAATCCGCTTTCTCGATACATATCTTAACAGATACACTCATACTCTGTCTTACTCTACTCATCCGAACACAACAACCAACCAATTTACCTTCCCCATTATCGAACAGCTTATGAGGTACAACAGCTCCGCCTAACCCATACAATCTCAAATTCACGTTTCCCACATCGATTAAATATGAAGTACTCTCATCAAGAATAAATAAGTTTCGAATTTCATATTCTTTCATTCGAAACCTCTCCAATACTCTTACATCCTCACACGCTCCCCAGACAGTGTAGACAGGGACTTTTAGTTGACAGGCACCGGAGAGAAATTTGGGAAATTCGGATAATAGTGGCTCTTCACGATCCTTGATCATACGACGAATTTCCTCGTCGGTGGAATTTGCGAGGTGGGCGCGAAGTGAGGGTTGTATTAGTGTAGAATATAATATTGTATGACGAAGTGTTCTGGTTTGTTATCGAATTGGTAGGAAAGGTATGAGAAATTTAAAAATAGAAGTTAGATCGACACTGAGAATTGCAAACATACCTCTCGCTCATTCTTTCTAAACTTGAGTTCTCTAAAATAATAATTCGGTGTTATATGTTTATTAAAAGATACGAATCATGACATATCAGTCGATATTATAATATAGTTGTAATAATATGAAGGCAAGTTTACAAGTATAGTGAGTCACAATCAATTGAATTCATACCATAAAAAACCAAAATCTCCAGAGTGGATTATAGCTGTCGCGCCAGTTTGCTCGGCGAGAACATTTAATTGCGAGATGTTTCCTAATGATATCCATTTGCACATAAGAAATGTGAATATGAAAGTTTATATTGCATAGACCCATGCTCTACATTTTGCATGCGATAAACACATTAATCTGTGTTCTTCCAACTGGACTCTGGTATTCGAAAATCAATCCTCACCCCGCACGTCGGCCACACACAAGATCTTCCCCCATTCGTGACTGATGGTGTTAACGATTGTTGGAGTGCTAAGTGGTAGATTTGTTGTGTTTACAGAGATTCCGTTTACGGGTCGTGTATTCGTGTGAGTCGTAGCAGATTGATCGTAACCGTAGTTATACGTTGGACCTTGAACGAAAAAACCAAAAAGTTTAATAAGGAAAAATGAGATGAAAATGAAAAATAAAAATCGAAATTTTTGTTGCAATTACGCATCAGACTTCCTTTCGACAATACTAATTAGAGTAAAGTAATACAGAGCCATAGTATTATATGTAGTCGTATAAATTGCAGCTTAACTACTTCTATCCCATCAGTAAGTTGATCAGTTGTCCGTTAAACCAACCAGCTTCCGATCTCGTCGACTGTTTATTTACGACAATTGAACACAATAACAGCGACGACAATGACAACAACGACGCCAACTTCTCAGAGACGCCGCAATCTTATCAGTTGTTCCGCCCATCCCGAAAAGCTATATACATTCACGTACCACCATTAGCCATACGTGGTTGGGAAGCGCTGGTCGTTGATGCTGGTTGATCGTAGATGTAATCTTGAGGTGGCGGTGACATGTCGATTGGCCAGTGATTAGTGTGATCGTAGTTGGATCCTGGTGCGAAGCAAACGGTGATAATATAACGGAGATTGAATCAATAACGATATTATATGGTTTGAAGATAAGAAAACGTTGATAGAATAACAAATAAGTATTCCATGTATGAGCAATAGTAGATTGTTGTGGAAGCTGTTATTACCACGAGCAGATAGCATATTGGGGATCTCGCTCTATTCGTTAAGCGAGATGCAGTCTATTTGGGGTAAGGTAAAGGAGATAATAAAAATAATTATTCTATTCTATATTAATAACGGGAAGAACGAGGAGGAAACTATTAGGTGTTTTAAGAAATAGCACTACTAATTGCAAGAATATCAATGACGAAAGTATAGTACCGGAGTTATTAATTGAATCTAGAACGAAAATAGTACTCATAACTATTCCTATTACTGCTAGTACTACTACATATAGATATTGTTCTCGCCGATATATTAATACGCACCAGTTGCGGGAATCCGTGTTTCTTAAAGCAGGTGTTCTTCCTGTAATGCTACAGTAGTCGTTACAGGCTGGAAGATGAGTAAAGACTACCTTTCCCGACGCGCAACAATCTTTCCTAACAAGAGCAATAGGTGAATACCGTGTAACCACTTTGGGAACTACTTTTCTTATCACCCTTTGCTCTTCTCTGTTATTTTCCGAAAAAGGTGTAACACAGAAAGGATGTACATGCTATATTCGATCAACGTGTCATGTTGCACTTCTTGTTTTGATTGCTTATGTGTCGATTTATGATAATACGGGTAGAATTTAATTGGTTATGATTTAAAGTTGTTATTAATGATACGGTTTCCTAAAGAAGTAGATTGCAAGAGTGGCAGATGATCAATACGCGGCATTTTACTAGGCTCGTTAACAATGTAAAAGAAATTCAATTGTCAACTTTAAATCTTCCTACGAGTAAAAGAAACCATGAACCTAAAATCTGGTTGCAGTTTGCTTAGAGAAAGGTTAATATTAAGATAGATAGAAGCTTGTTATTTAGAGTAGGAATTTCCCTTTTAGAGCATTGGTCACGCACGAATTAGGACATGATTAATTCTACTCTAACCTATTGTGGCTCTGAAAACTCTCGATTCCTTAACTTTTGCAAGTGTAGAGGATGGTTGCCTGATAATCAACTACTTGTTTAAGATATATCTATTGTTAAGCTCCAAAACAGGTCAAAATGCTTTATTAATTATAATTAGCACCAAAATTGGTTAAGAACACCATTCAATAATACGCCAACTCTATTGTAAAATTAAATAAAGTGATTTGTTATGAAAACAAATAATCAAAAAAACTCTGTTTGGGAACTTCGACGGGTTGCTTTTTAATTATACTGTTCTTTCCCGACTTGGACTCGTAGAAACACGCTGGATGACAGATGTACGTCAAGCGACGACCATCGGTTGAGTTTTTACCTAAAGATGGTATTTACAAAGTAGTAACGTAATACGTAAGACAAGGGATGAGTTTAGAGGCTTCGGTATTGGATAGCTTTGGCAACGTTTAATATAAAAGCTATACTATAACAACTCCCCTTGAAACCATACTTACTGAATGAAGTAACGTTGTAATATTGACACATAAGATGCACAACCCAACGCGAGAATTTATCCTCAATATCCAGAATCAGCAAACCATCATTGTTTGCTATACCAATCACTTCTTCCCACGTGCCATGTTTCTGCCAATAGACCACAACAGGAACACCTCCAACGTCGCTTCCGTCGCTTCCGTCGCTTGCATCGTCTCCATCGTCTATATCATCCTCTACCACAATCCAATCGATAGATATACTTCTGTTATGAGAAGGTCTGGCCAACTCGGCAGCTGTCTTGCTATTTTCCATTCGTTTGTCCTTTCCATCAAATTGACGGCTTTCGTTCCTGTTAGACTTTGTTCCATCCTTAGCTTTCTCCTTTACCTTTGTTCTCTTTTCCTTCCCTATTCTAATTTCTTCCTTTGCGTCAGCATTCGAACCGGATAGAAACGCCATCAGTTTCTCTTCATATTTTTTGACAATTCCTTCGGGCTGACTCTTCTTTAGTCTTTTCCGCGCATGTTTCCCTAAAACATTCTCTTTGTTATCTCTAGTATGCCTTTTACATTCCGGTTCGTGTGCGGGAAGAGGGAGGTAGCCAAGATCGGCAAATACGGTACAGAAATGATCAATCATAGCGTCATAGTAGAAGTGAAACGTAGACATCTCGTGAGAGTAGCCGGGTGGCGCAAGATCAATTGGGTCGAGAATTGCAAGTGGATGATAGGCAAAATTATCTACATATGAGAAAGGGGAATTGAAAGAATTTGGGGAAACGGAGGTAATAGGAAGGCGGGTTGAATGGAAAGTTAATGGGAGCGAGACGACGGATGGAGAATTGTGTGGCTAATATGTAACAATCTAACCGGATAGTCTCTTTACTAACTTGATCGGCTTTCTAATGGTATCAGAGAGAAATTGACATAACAGTAACTGATAAATGCATCTATCCTTCGTTCGGTGTGCGGATCGACGGATTAGACCCTGTCAATTGACTGTTTTCAATCCTTTCCTGTTCATTCTCTTGCATGTGGCAAATCCTACTCTTCTTGTCTTCTCCAATTCTGACTTTTGTTACTTATCACTATGCATACATTCCTATCATTATTCTTATCTCTTGGCTACCACTTACTATTATCGTGTCTATTCCGTCTTCTGGAGCCATCTTTTCCAGGACTATCCCTTCGAGCAAGAGAGTCTCTCTGATGGAAATACCCTCTTTTCTTACGCGGTTTCTTAGACTTAATAGTGCATACCTCTTCTGGACATACGTCTTGGTTGAGATGGTCGGAAGTGGGTAGACTCGAGGGGTTGGTGGTCGTTGCCGAATGGGCCTGGTCTAACTCAGCGGTAATAGCCATAGCAGTTGAGAAGTCAAGTTTGAGGAGTATGTGGACTTGTAAATATGTCAAAGAAGACGGCTGAGATGTGACGGTGATAGTGAGGGGAGATAAGCCTTATGTCATACTCGATTGTGCTGCGGTATCGAGCTACATGAATTCAGGGGTTTGAATTCTGTTTTACGAAAACGCGAACATGTCCCTGCATAAGAAGTTGTGTGAACTGACCAACAATTTTTTCTATGAATTTTGGCGACAACGAATATCGAAGAGCACCGGGAAATCAGTTCAAAACTGGATTCTATATAGACTTGGTACACGAGCTACTTTTTGAGATATAAACATCATTCGTCTCTACTATTGAATATAACGAATAGTTGTCAATGATAACTCCATCATCCATTGCCCAATAAGCTAAAGTTTTAGGCCCTTATAGTCGGCTCTTCGCAACTTTATGCAATTATTTACGCTCTGTTCAGCGCCTATAATTTTTGTTGTCATATATATGTTTGCACGAACACCTACATAAATTACGCTCTCCTAAACTCCAATTGAATATTTTAAGCATGCTTTCTGGCACTCACTTTGCATCCATTATTATTAAACAAGCAAACTTTTTTTTGTAAAGGACTTTACCATGGCCAGAGGAATAAAAATTCCAAATTTTTATGGGCTTCATTAATAGGATAACTCACCTGGATTCATCGTTCAATCTCATGCGTTCAAAATCTTCGTTCGCGATACGTACGTATCATTCAACGTTTCCTTCACCATAATTTTTTTATATAAAAATAACATGTTTCTTGGTGCAGGCGTAATTCCCAATAAGTCTCACCAATTGTATAGCATTATCTGCTAAAGTGAAGTTCCACTACCATTCTTCCAAAAACTGAAAACAGAAGAGAAGCTATTCGTTGCCTTTAATAATGGTTATATTGTTAATAACCGTAGCTAACTTAGAATATGATTGGTTCTTCATAGAAATTACGATTATTTAACTATTTTTAGCTCCGTTTTCGATTTGAGGATGGGATACAAGTGGAGATGCAGGAATGTAATTTTCAGTCACCGACACAAATTGCGTCAATAGAAATTTTATCGCAACAAAATTATATAATCCTGAGATTGCTTTGTAAAGAAAAGACTCGGCAAATTCTCATTTACGCAAATCGATACCTGATACGTTAACGCCATTGCTAAATGTTTCAAACGACTTAATAATCTGCACAAACACTTAAATTAACAAAGCCATAGAGCAACGCCATTATAGAATTTTTCACAATCACGCGTTTGTCTAATCAATATTCTTTCAATTTGTTGATTGACGAGTTATGTGAAGGCGTTTACAATTGTCTGGCTATTGTCATAAATTATTAATATTTAAAACTTATAGGTCGACTATTGATGTAGAATCATGTGATAGTGTACTGAGCATAAACTGTATAATCTTACAAAGTTCTGTTATACAATTGTATTAGGGCTGAGGAAGTTAGTGAGGCTTCATCACATTATGGGAAGATTCGTAAACCTGACATGCGCATCAAACTACCAACATCAAACTTGGAAATATTATTTCTAGAGAGCTCACGCCCTAAGGCGGGTATTCCAAAGTTTATTTTGGATTGGGCTAAGTTGGTGCGTATGTCTAAGGATGCGCATAACGTCATGATGAAGTTCATAACACAGGATCAATTGAATCCGTGCTGTGCCCATTGTAATGATACAAGTTCATTGTCTTGAGATAAAAATTGCAGTATTAGACAGACCTCATATGCTGTATTATCGCGTACGTGTGCTAGAGACTTTTACGATACCTCTAACGCCTTTTAAAAGCTGGAGGATTTTGTAAGTCACTGGTTAAAACTTCAACAGTACGTTGATAATTTGGATAGCGAGCAGCAAGATCTTAAGACGCAATATAATAGTTGGCACAAGCGAGTTTCTTCCAACACCGTGCTCCAAGTGCAATGAGCATTGACGATTTCCGCACTCCCAGTACCCTCTAGTGTTATGCATTATTATATAGATTTAATAAACAAGTAGATAAGGGATAGGGTCCATAAAAGTCAAATGGCTATTTGCTTCGATTTTTGGAAATTACTTGATGAAAATGAATTCTCCAAAACTTAAACATGTCCAATTCTGATTATAGATACAGCGTGTGCAATTAGTAATTTTGTTCGAGAGGGGTATCTAAATATGTCCCACCATGATGCCAAAAGATGGTATGATTATTAGAAGCGTCAACCAGCTGATGGCATGAAAGAATTAACTAAAAGACAATCACAACAAGAATTAACTAAAAGACGATTAGTTATGTGATAAAATCAAAGCTAATCCAGAATTACCTTCTTTAAATCTTTTTTCTACTATTTCTGACGCCGATGGCTGTCTGAACGTAACTTACATATAAGTCACATGATTAATAAATATGTCGCGATAACTCTCTTCCTAGCATTATAGCCTTCCTATTTCACGTTTATTCGCAGACAAAAACTTGGTATATATTTTCGTGCTACAAATCAAGCAAACTCATGCAGAAAAATAGGCTTCCACGATGATGAATGTAACATTCGCCCGTTTTGTTAGTTAGTGTGAAACGCCGATTGCATGTACATGCGATATTTAGCGGACATAATTACTACTGATTTAATACATTATATAACACAGGCGAGCTTGTATAATAATTATCAAGGGGACATTAACCATCATCAGCAATATAAATCATTCTTTTGCAGGAGTCCAAAACGTGGATACACACTTGGTTTGTTTTTTATCCTGCCTCGGCAAGGATGCTCAGAATTCTAAGATTATATTTGTGTTTGGACCTGATACAAGTTATACATATGAAGCTACATTACTGGTATAGACCTGATCCGGGTAAAATTTGAATTTGTGTTAAGATAAATATTTCAAATGACTAATTTTTTTAATAGTCCTTTTTGGTTTGCCTCAGTACGGCCGATATCCTCCATACCCATCGTGAAACTGTTGCGGTGGAGGTTGATTTATCGGATAGTCTTCCTCTCCCAATAGCTCTTTAACCTCCCATACGTTAGCTTTACTGCCAACGGAAAATTCCAAGTCTTCTTTAGTGATTGAATCCCAATACTTGTACACCATCATCACCGCAAGCAAAGTGCAAATGGTCCCAAAGAACAGTCCATCGATATAATGTTTGACAGCATCGCATATTCTGACAGAGAGCACGTAAAGCGTCACCTGGCCCACGGCATAGAATACGGTACCAAATGCAATGTCACCGAGTGGCCAACGGTCATCAAGAGTATTGAGAACAAGGATAACTTGCAGAATGATGTAGATTATGAGTGCAGCACCATTGAAGCCGTACATGACAACCCAGAGGGCCATTGGTTTAAGTGCGTCGAACGGTCCGATGTTGTTGAACGTTGCTAGTGCCAGGAAAGCAACAGCGGCAAAGACTACGAAAGACGATATACGAATCGTCTGGACATGCAGATAAAATATACGTTAATTATTTTGTGGGTAATGCGTAATGCGTAATGCGTTATAACTAAAACAAATAACGGTTCGCTGCTAATATTAATAAGATATCGGCACTAAGATTATACTTTTAGCTTACCCAGAGTGATAATGGTGTTCCATCCTCTGCAAATTGGAATCCAACGAATCCGTTGAAAAGTAAACACCAGAAGGTAGCTGAGATGACACCAACATGTGCAGCAGTAAAGTACTAATAACGAACAAACGTCTTAATTAGTCTATCCATTATCATATACTTTTTTTTTTCCTGATTGTACCATCTTATACTCACGCGATATACTGTAGTAGCTGTCGGAATGAGGCCCGATATAAGGAGCATTTCGAGTATTGTCATTATCATGTATAAATAAAAGAACATAACAATTTCCTTTCGACCTATCGTTCAGACGGGAAATTGATTAGTCAAAGGTTCGACAACCGAACAAGATAACAAGAAGATTAATTGCCATTTGACTCTATTCGCAAGAAATGATCTTACCAACTGCAGTGTATTTGGATTTAATATGGTAAATCATGATACCCGTCATGAGCAACGCAATTATATAAATGATCACAGTGGCTAGAAAATATAAAGAGAAAAGTCAGTAAATTTCTCCCCTCTTGATCATGCATCCATGCTTTCGTTTAACTCTAGCTTCCTCTTTCTTGTGCTCCAAGATATACATTTTCCACACCGCCTCAACTAATTCCTTACCCATGAGTCTTACCCGGCTGAAAAATTAACATTCCGGCTATTTCTACATTCCTTGAATAACATGACGGAGCTATGCCGTCTGGATCTCCAACAAGAGGGCAAACTGACAGAGACACTGTCTCGCAAATATGTCTAAAATCACCAATTTGAAGCATAATTTACAAATCTGTTGTTTCTAAAATGTTGTTACAATAGTGTGGGGGCGTTCTGGAGGGGAGAGCAAACTCTATGGATGTGGGATATTGTATGAACGTTTACTTGGAATAAATATGTGGATATAGGTAGGTGTAATATATGTATGAATGAGGGATTTGACAAAAGAAAGACTGAGTTCACGAACGGTGAGAACAGCCAGGCCACCGGAGTTTCTTGCGAGACCACTAGTTGGCTTGAAGAAATAGAAATAGAGAATTCCCATTACACAAGCATATACCTAATTTATTATTGCATGGTAAATGGATGAGAGTGAGCCAATGGCATGATGTGACACTGCGATATAAATAGAGCTGGCCATGTGTAATAGATCTATGAATTCCCACCAAATTCTCGAGACCATCGCACGATCAAACTCACCTTTTGTTTTGAGTTTTATTATATAACCCTTATTAAGGCCTACAACATTGATCCTAATACGCTTAAAAATGTTAATTTAATAACGCCTATGGAATTATGATTTTAGTCAGCAATTCGGAAGTTTTGCCAAATGTAGCATTTCATTAATATGATGTCAACTGCCAAATAAGCGATTGGATTATCCATGTAGCACATGCAAGGTTATTTTGCTTTTAATGGACTATTAACTCATATGCCAAAAGTTAGGGAAACAAGGGTTGCGAGTCCGAGCCACAATTTCTAAGCCGAGCGGCAAGTAAAAGTATTTTATTAAGGAGCAACACTCGTTACAATTGTGAGACTTTATTTAATAGCTATGAAAGCTCGTTAGAGTTGATGGTAACACCGTTTCATCTCTGATAGAAAATGTTGCACAACTGTCTTCAAGAGCTTTATTTTATGTTAACTGTAATAGTAATCGTGTATATGATTCGTATTCGAATTGAAAGACTGCCAATTTTTAAATTATTGAAGCATGGGATGGAAGACAGCGTTTTCATTCTTGTCAAACTGCAAAACCAATTGCTGGATCACGCATAATTATCGACTGCACATCCGGGGCTTAAACACTGCCCTGGCAAACGATTAGTTCAGTATGCAATTAACGATTATTTCCAAATGATAATCTGTATCCTAAACGGTTGTGGTAAAATGAAATAATGCTAAACAGATAAATCACAAAGCAACACACGAATTTGTTTTAATATTAATGTTAAGAATTAATAAATTAAGATTGTTAGAAATTTATAATGTCGATAGTTTAAGCGTGTACACGGCTCAAATCGTTATGCAGCAGAGTCTAACGTAATTTTGCATCGCATAATATACTGTTGAGGCTGCATTCATGTTTATCCAAAGGTTGTCGAAAACTGGCGAGACAAAATTCATCACGTGTGTCGGATTTTGTTACTTTCATCAAGCACGAGATTAACACATATATCTTGTCGGTTCACAATACAAGAAATCTCCTAAATAGAGACGATTCCTTGTAAAAACAAGCGCTTTCTTGTGAAGACTCTTGTTGTCGTCACTGCGTTTTAACAAACTTTGCTTTTTTCTTTCAAGCTAAACAGTGCACAGTACTACACTTTTTCAACGTCTAGCCGATTATGCAACACATTTCCTACCGATGCCTGCTAATCCTGATACATAATTTATTTGGTTACTAAAGGATGAGAAAACAGTTTTCGAACGGAGAATGTACAGAAAATTACGAAAAATCAAGACGCTTAAACGCATTCAATTAATACGCGTTTGCTAAATAATGGCCCACTCAAAGTTGCAGAGGAGCAGAATTTGTTAGATAATTTAATTGTAATTACTAATTTGCTCTTATTTACACCATGACTCCTGAAGAATGCGTTACCTAATAATAGTTTAACTGCTACATCTGGTAGTAATAAAGCACTTGGTCATCCTTTTCAAGATGAACGTAAATAGACTCGGTTCCTCTTTCGAGAAACTCAGCTTCCAATGTCCACTAGTGAGCAATAAATTATAAAACTATCACAAGGGAAAATCTAAATAGTGCGTTTTCGCATCAATATTCGTCAACGAACAATCAATAGTTTATTTAGACAAGAAATTCGGTTTCTCTGTTAAAAATTGTGGGTGTAGTAATTAACTAGCCAATATGTTTGAATATTTCCAAACGTCCTAAGTAATAAATACTGGAATCACTTGTCAAACTACCTGTAGTAATCGTTCTAACAGCCTTTTCTGACTACCCTCGGGTATGTTTTCAATCATCTAATCTTCAGCAAGGTGATATTGCATTGTTAACTTTTATGGTAACTCATAATAGCTGATTTAGACGATCCATTTCATTACCCGTCGCGAGCTCGTTAAATGTTCTAGCAACTTGAATTGTTTCATTGTCATGTCGAATACACGAATTTTAATTACTCAACTCTATTAGGCCTGATTTATCCCAAAAGGCCCGCTAGAATTAAAACTACAAGACTAACAAACAAGTCGCCCTTGTTCCTTCTGGTAATAAAATGATTGATTGCATTACTTTTCATGATATTACACTGATTGCAACAGATTACTCGTTCGCACTCGAAAGTGTTAAACTCAACAGACGCGTTGTATTGCGTTAGTTATGCGAAGACGATAAAATTAAATATTTCTGAACCATTAATAAGTTACGTATTTTTCTATGCTATCTAAAAAATCCAACTATTAAACACCATCACCCTTTTGCACAAAGAATTTACTGAAAAATCTATTTTGTTGACCGGCTTGGCCAATATTAATACCATACTGCGTTCTTTTCCCAGCTCTGCGGAAAGAGATACTCGGTTAATAACTCATGTCGCATTGGGCTTCATAAAGATCAATTAGATACATACTTTTCTAATAATAGAGCAACGTCTGCTTGTTCAAGTAGAGAATACTTTTTGTTTCTTGTTGAGGGATCCATATATTCGTCTGGGTTCTCCGACTCCAGCAGTGATACAATCTACATAAAGTTGTAAGCATATCTAAGCCCTCCGCCTTCAAATATTATTAAACTTTTATCCATTTTGTCAAACCTGTCTCAATTCCAGGAATGCATCTGCTATGTTTGGATCTTCCAATCTACGCGCAAAGTGTTCCAAGAACGTGACATCGATGTCAAAATTTCCGACGCCATTAGCATTTATTCGTCTTACTTCTGGGTCCATAATCCGTTGCTGTCAATAAAGGCGCGAGCTCGTCATTATTAGCGTGATAAACAAGACAGCAGATGATAAACATATTTACTTACTCGAAGTGCTGTAGCGAGGTATCCTAATGCTCCGAAGTGGATAAGCGTTTTTATGTCTACGGGAAGGTTGTATAGAGTTGATGCGATTACGGTTGTTAAAAAGCCAACCATATCTACAAAAGGACGTATTCGGCAAGTAAATAAAAAATTTTTACTATCCAAGAATACATCGAATTTTTTGAAAACCACCTTGTAAATATGGACTTGGTTGTGTCTGCATTACGGATGGAGCCCTAGATGTCAATAAACGTGTTAGTAGGTGCCTTCAAACACATAAAATAAAGCCATCCACCTCACAAAAAGATTAGTTACGGACCAATCATAATCAGCCAAGTCCAAGAAATCATCAATCTTGGAATTAACCAGTTCATAGATACGCTTCTCTGCCTTCTTTCTTGTTGTACGGAATGCTTCGGTCGCCTCTAAATGTATCTTACCACCACGGTGAGCAGACCTTTAGAACAAGATATGGTAGATTCAGTAAACATATGATATTCATGAAATTGGATTTTTAGGAAATTTATACACATTATTACTGAGTAAAATCCTCTCACGCATACCTTCGCTCTTTCAACAACTCCTCCAATTCACTACACATGTTCTCAAAATACTCTAAATTGATGTTAATCTGAACAATTTGAGTCAAATTGGTACTTCGAAGTTTAGCGAGAAGTACACCGTTGACATGTTCGATCAACATGTCGTCAAGAGCCTAATGGAAATTTACAATATAATTAGAACTAAAGATAAGAGATACTTGTGGTAAGTATGTGGATTGTGTACCTCTCTCACGATATCATCGACCTGAGCATGGATTCGAGAGGCATCTTCAGCAAATTCATAAAATTGAGAGACAAAATTTTTTATGTCTAGACAGCATGAAGGATACGCTTGAGAAAAGGGAAGACTTCTTGGGTATCTATTGGAAACCAAAGGTTAGGGCATAATATATATATACATGTAATAATAATTTTCTTGTCGTATGTCACGTATAGCAACAGAGACAACGTCTGATGTACTTGCCCTTGCCCAGTTATCCGTAAATCCTCAGTAAACCAGCAAGCGTCAATCACAGCTTCGTATTGTTCGGGAGAGTCAACTATCATTGGCATATAGTCATCTTCCGACATTGTCTATAATAACAATAATTTTAAATAACCAAGGTTTCTTGGGACAAATACAAGTAAACAACATACTTGATGAAAGTCGTCTGCAAACTTTTCTTTGAGTAATTCGGAGTAACGTTGAAAGACAAAAAGATGCAAATCCACATATTTTTGTACATTATACGAATATTCCTGACATACCAACCAAACATAAAAAAGAATTAATAAAGTGCCTTTCACGAAACTCTCGTCCTCCTTGTGTACGTCATCTTTCGTGTATATTACCTCAAGCGTTTGCATAAACACTGTCAACTCTTTTTTAACCCTGTTGAATAGTTTAGGCTCGATACACCCATACAATGCAGCATACATAATCTGTACCGCTTTGGATGTGACCGTATCCCATAATACATCGACTTCACTCGATGAACGAAAATTTGGAATTGACCGCAAAATAACTCGTTCTATTACGAAAAAGCCCACAATATCTTGGAAGAAGGCTATTAGGCCTGAGGCATCGTTATCTTTTAAGACAAATGAAGTGGAGAGAACAAGGTTTGCTTGGGCCTTTAGAATTGCAAGAAAGTCTTATGTGGTTTAGTTGAAGCAAGAAACAAAAATGCATGGAGCAGATTGCATAACATACTCTTCGATCTTCTTCGTAGTTGAGTTTTAGTTCCTGACTCTTGCCGAGCTCTTCGTTTATGTGCAGACATTGATACAGCGGTTTAAAATCTATCTGTACATATTCATTATTGACAACATTAACTAGTCAAATAATTCAAAATAAAATAAGTTTGTCGTTCACTCTCAAGAAGAAGAAAGGCGTGTTTTTGCATGAGTTAATCACATACATTCTTTATCCTCATTCAGTACAAGTTCGATAGGTGAATTCACGGCGACATGTCTCAAGTCCGGTTCCTGAGCAACTTTGACTCGCCACCGTTCTTGTCTCGTGACTAATTGATCCATGGCAAGTTTTCCTACTTGACGAGAGACTTCGCGTACTCTATGAATTGTTGATTACAAAACATCGTTATAGCCCATGGTGATAGATTTATCCTCGATATGAACATGATGCCTTGTACTCAACTTGAAAAGCCATTCTTTCATTTCTTTAGTTACTGCATCTTTGATACTATTCTGGGTGACGGGTATAGATTCCTCTGATTGATTCATTGAAGAAACAGTCCGTAAGATATATAATAAATGTGATGGAATGGCGAATCGTCCAACTTACGCATATGCTTTGCAAATTCATATTGTATTACGTTGCGAAGGTGGACTGTCTGGAGTTCCTCTAACGTCTGAAACAGAATCCGTATGAGTCGCAAGAATATGTATTTTTGTAGCGCAAGTCTAGTCGATACATCATACCCTTAATGCTGAATAATATTTTTTCTCTTCAATCAAGTTGTTGGCTCTATATGATAAATCCAGTACATGCAGACATTTCTGTAGCGTTTCAATTGCATCATCAATGTTTCTTTGTATCTTGCGTGTCTGAATTAATTCTTTTTTCTAGAAGAAATTTTACGCTTAGCTATTTCCAGTATGTAAAATATGCAAACAAATTCGTGGAAAGAATTCACACCTTTGTTGTTAGTTTTTTCCCTGATTTCTGCACGTCGTAGTTAAGATCGATTATTTTATTCTTCAAGGTGACGGTGCCTTGACGTACTTTGAGAAGTTGATCAACGGATTGGACGAATTCCTAGGAAAAGGGTCAATAAATGCTATAGCACTTTTTCATGCGTTCTCACATCATATGTTTCCGTTACGAGTTATACCAAAAATAACAAACCTGATAGTTACTATTACACATTCGCTCAATTTCGCCCTCCTTCTTCCTCTCAAATGCCGTTAATTGGTCAAGAAACGCCTCCTGTCTGCCAGAATCATAAATGCTCTTTATTATAGGACCTAATTGCTCCAAGTTCTCATTTTCGGAATTAAGTTCTGCAGATAAAACCAAAGATTGAAGTTGTTGTTGGTCGACATCCATCATTACAGTTTTTGAGAATTGCAAGTGTCTGGGATATAAATAGTATGTAAACTGATTTGTGATATTTATTTATATAATTGCTATTTAAGGCTGTTGTATCTCATAGATACTGCATTTGCTCGACCAACTATCAGTTCCATCCGTGTTACCCTTAAAGTTTGTCCTCGATATATTAATATACCCTAATTCTTTGTCCATACTGTTTTACGTTCATTTTATTACACTGAAAATGAGTTTCTTCAATAACAAAGCAGGAGTAACTGCTTCAACATGGGGGAGCATGTTGAAACAGGCGATAAATACAGTGGAAAGCAAAATTGATAAGGCTTTAGACATAGGCTCAGAGAGTGCGTAACTGATTTTATTGTATTTTTGCAATTTCAATTTGATTTATATTCCAACGCTCTGAATAACCTGCCAACAAAAGTTATTACAAATCAACAGACGCTTATGAATATCAAGGTGAAGTGTATGTGGATCCTGTAACGGGAATAATAGCGACTATAGACAACCCCGAAATACCGCTAATGGTAGAGAACGATAATTCAGCCTCATCAAGAGAGTATTCACAAGAGCAAAAAGAAACGCAAGATTTGCAGGAAACCGCTGCTACGTCAAGCTCAGCGGAGAATTTGCTTCCCATTTGCACTCCTCCAACATCGCCAGCAGTGAATCCATCATCAGACACACTCACTCCTTCAACGCTGTCAATAGTAGATTTACCAGCGAGTATTTCTACTCCCGTACCCACTCCCGCACCCACTCCTCCGCCCCCTCCCCCCCCTCCCACTACCCCTTCAAAAATGCCCGACGCGGCACAATATGATACACAGGCTGTGGTATCCAATGATTCAACGAAAATAGATGCCAATTCGGCGACCACACGCACATCGCTATCCGATACATTAGTAACGCTCAAGCAAATACTCGCCACTCAAGATGATAGCGCAAGTGATAATAACATTGAATCGTTTTCACACAAATCAAGCGAATCACACGAATCGCATCGTTCGATTCAGACAGATACAATTGCCGATGCTGGAGCAGAAGAATATAATAATGAGGATACTGGTATGGATTCTGATGAGATTGTCGATAAAAACAGTGGATATGAGTCGTCCGGTTTATTGAATGCTAGTGATGAAGGTACACTCGATGAGAGATCGAGTCACGACGAGCTTAGACGTAGGAGTAAAACATCTAGTATTATTAGTGATGGAATTGCATGGTGGAAACATGATTCTGCTTTTTACATTCATTTTGCAGATAGTGAGGATGATGCTGATGCTGATAACAATGATGATAGAGATAACAACAGTATTGACGATAATAAGGATGCCGTTGATGAGACAGCTGCAGATGGAAGACATTATGAAGAAATTATTGCAACTAAAGAACAACGGTTGCGCGATGTACTGGAACAGAATATCACCTTGAACAAGCAGATAGAAGAATTGCAAGGCAAAATAATGGAGATAGAAGAGAACAAGGATGCCATGTTGAAGATTGCTAACGGTAAAATTGACGATTTGGAAAAGTCATTGGAGCAGACTAGAGAGGTAAGCAAACAAACATCTATAGTCTAATATCAAATCTAGTGATAAATTTATTTCTTAATTAAGTGGGATTGATCGTCTTCTAACAATTATTGTTTCAACGTTAGGCTGCCCAAAAAGCACAACAATTAACCACTACCGTAGAAGCATCACAGAAAACAGTTGAAAATCAACGAAAACTACTTCTTGAGAAGGATGAACAAATAGCTAAATTAGTGCAAGCTGGTATTTATCCTATGTCCTCTTTCACTGAACCAAGATGTAAACATATTCAGCGTTATTTATATATCAATTTTTTATGTAGGCGAGAAGAACGAATATGATAAACGAGTAACGATTATTATTATATACCTGCATTCGTGGTTTCAACAATGACGTTTATGTGTGGAATTAAATATTATTGTTCTTTTCTTATTAGGTTCAAATAGAAGAACTTCAAAAGGAATTGGAGCAATTACGTACAGAATCAGGAACATCTGAGGATAATTTGAGGATAGAAGTGAGTGTCGCTGTTATCGTTATCGCTAGGTCAAGCGTAATGCTAAACTGTGTATCTTGATTTAGCTTCGTGAATTGCGATCAACGCTCATAGAATCGGGAGAGAGAGCTGGTCAACAAGAAGACGCTTTAAGAAAGGAGATTGAGGTTTGTTTATAATATTCTACCACGTATTGTAGCTTGAATAGCGTCAGAATGACATCATTAACAAAACCTAATTACACAGTCTCTGCAACATCGACTACAACTAGCCGAGTCTGCCAAGCAGGAAGCCAAAATGGAGGAGTGGGAAACGGAAAGAATACAGCTAATTAGGCGGATAGACGAACTTCAGACACAGCATACTTTATCCAAGAAGAATTGGGAAAAAACCGAGATACGGTTAGCATTTGATTAAAGCAGGAGCAAATGGAGCTAATGGAGCTAATGGAATATATTGGTTTATAAAGCATAAGTATTTATAGATTAGTTGCAATTTTCATTTGATATTTAGATTAAAATCTCAACTGGCCGAACGTGAGAATGATCGTGAACGTCTGACTAAGAAGGAACAAAGCGTAAAAGCTGAACTCGCTGAATTGGTACGATGTCATAACTTTACCTTTCTCATTCCTCTCGTATTAGCTACAATTTCTAACCAGTATCGAATATCTTTTTAATTCTAGTCGTCAAAATTAGAGTCGACTTCTCTTCAATTAATATCGGAACGTAACGAAGTCTCTCGTTTAGACACACTTGTTTCCACCCTTCGCAGCCAAGTCTCTACTTTGACGTCGCAGAATTCGTCTCTCTCCGCTGATCTGTCATCGCTTGCAGAATCCCATTCGGCCGAACTCGCCACTCTTGCTGACAAACACTCTAGAGAATTAAAAGAAATGTTACAATCAAAAGATGGCGAATGGGAAGCTAAACTCAACAGCGAAATCGAAAAAATAAAGAAGGACCATGAACACGAAAGAGAAAAAGAGAAACGGAAATCAAATTTGACACTCGATTTTAGTACTCGTAGTCCCACTTATAGTTTACGATCTACTAGCGAAACTTCCTTAGGAATATATAAGAACGATAATGGGAATGTCGGGAAAGGAGAGGAGGGAGCGTTTACTGGAGTCAGATCGCCAATGCTATTTAGTCCGGTATCGAGTGCAAGGAGTAGTATAGACGGTGGGAATGGTGTAATGGGTAGCGTGGTCATGTTTGAGAAATTCAGTAATAATGTAAAACAGTTGGAAGCTCAGGTTGCTAACCTGCAGGCACAGTTACACGTTACTACTAAAAATCGAGGTCAGTGGGGGAGGGTAACTGCGCCAGATTCAATTGTGAACACTGCTAAATTATATCGTTTTGTAACTTTGTAGACGAATTGTCCGACGAACTGGTCCGAATGACAATGCAACTGGAAGAATTGTAAGTATGACAACATTGTAATACGTAGATACATTTGATATCAACCGTAACCAAACCGATTGTTTGTTCTTCTTAGGAAATCAAAATCGGCAGACTATGACATTTTATCGGAGGAACACACGGAATTGAACGAACGGTAAGAAACACATACCTTTTTGACACTCGCACATCCATACAAAACCAAACAATAACACGCCCGCCATCTGTTTGCTTGTAATCAGGTATAATACTCTTTTAGAGTTGTTGGGCGAGAAAACCGAGGAAGTAGAGGAATTGCAGGCTGATTTGGCAGATGTTAAACAAGCATTTAGGGCTCAAATTACTGAGCTATGTGCCAAAGCCGATCAGTCCAAGAAATAATAGACATTATTAATACATGTAGAATAACTCTACGGACGATGATCAAAATTATAACAACATAGAAATTATCCGTTGTGCGTAAAACGGCATGTAACCTGTCTAATAACTTAATAATAATAATAATATGGAACGTAATATAACATCCACTGAAAATTTTCGGCTTGTGTCGCTCCTGCTATCTTTACATGCAATAAATTCTAAATACAGTCGGCCGGCCAAAATTTAAAATTCTAATGAGCCGGTACACGTGATATTTTATAAATTACGATCACAACTCTTACTATTACTATTACGGTATTACAAATTTTTATTAACTAAGTGTATTAGTATTACAATATGTTATCAAAACATATCACTAGGATCATACGATTAGAAAGCATCCTGAATCCTGAACAATCGAATGAATAGTATATGTAAACAGTCCTATATTGTCAGGGATAAAAGATTTTCAACGTCAGATAAGAATGTAATTATTTAATAAATAACAACAATAATACTAATACAGTAAATGGTTTAATTAAATATCTTTTATTGCCGTCGGTCTTCTTGGCGACTGATTGTGTAAACGATATTTTACTATTTTTGACCTTCATAATAGGATTTTATTTGAACTGGGTATTCTCTTATCCTGATACGATTGTGTAGGTTTGATCTTTTAGATCATCAACGACGGGTTTCATATGAGGTATTAGAACTTTGGGATGATGCAGGGACAACACGTAAGTTTTATCTGCTAGAAAGTTGCACATTCTCAATGAGTTGGTGCCACTTACTCTTACTTGTGCGCACACTCCTAATCCGACACGGGCAATTAGCAAGTTCTTCTTCTGCGTATCTTTGCAATAAACTCTTATCGATAGCCATTAACCATTCTGGGAATCCCACTTATAAATTTTTGTATAATATTTTCTCGTATAAATGATCTTCGATTTACACCCTACGCCCAATGTTGCATATCTGATTTTCGTTAATGACGTTTCGATGTTACACGGAATGAGTATTATGAGTAACCCTTAATTTGAGTCATTGCCTTGCCGAAGGCTACTAGTAAAGCATGAAAAAAGAAATTCTTTATTGTTGGGTGAATCTTGTACCGTTTTGGGGCTAATTGGTTGCATTTTTCAGATTGCTTTAAAATCTGCAGTTGGCAGTATTTTTGTTACACAACGAAAATCTTATGTAACATAAATATTGCCAAGACTTTTATTAACTAATCTAATTTCACAATATTTCTTCCGAAAAACGAAAGCTTTTTTCATGTTTTACTGATCAAGACTTGAGGAGTGTCCAATATTTTTGGCCAGTATGTAGTATGTCTGCTTTCCCTCATTGCCAATGACGAAATAGTTTTTCACAATGGTTTTTGCCTTGCTCATTAGAACAAAGATAATTAACTCGAAATCATCAGCAACTTTTTTAAACAATAGCGGTCTTGTATCATAAAATCATGATAACATAAAGAAAAGTTTTGTAACTGACAAGGCGAGTGTAAAAGTTGATGGGATTGCCAAGTCACGTAGAAATGTCAATTGAAATTATCCAATCGCTATCGTAACTTTTCTTGCGTGCCGTAAAAGACTCTTAAAATAAGGTTACGACATCTACCAACACAGATTTAGCTTACAGAATCAAGAATGATTTCATGTCGTACTTGTCAGATTTTTTGGCATCGCTTACGTTATAATACACGCGGGAAGAATCGAGTCGGAAGTTGCTTGAACATCCCGATGAAAAACGTAGATGTTAAAGTAGCATCGCGTTCCGATCGTCAGAATAAGCGACCGTAGGCAAAACAGACAATTGAAACACTTACCATGCATGGCTTGAATAATACTTTTGCAAATATGAAGACATGTTAGGACACTACCCCGCGCTGTTGCATGTTGATGGAATTCGGGCGCTTACCAGGTTTAGACACATTATAGTTAAATGACGAATAACCAGGCTTTAATTGGATTAGGGAACGTGTCACGAATAGTCTCGAGTGTTACCAATTCTCCTTTTATGTAGCTAACAGCGTAATGTCAACATGCATGACTTCCAACGTTTTCTTGGCAGAGAACTTTCTCACTCTGAAGGTATTGAATGATCAGGCATCATCTAAATTTATTGGCAGTCTTATATGAAGCTTTTAGAATAGCATATAAGGAGCATAATTCAACCTTTAAAAGTTCAGACTTTATATAACTATCTTGAGGAGAAAAGTGTCGATAACACACCGGTTCATTGTAAAGAAGCCAATTCTCAAATCAATTATACCGATAACAACCAGCCCCATTTCCTCTTTTCCTAGTGAGCGTAAGCAAGCATTTGCCAGCGTGATCATGTCGAGACCACGTATATCGTGCGAGTTTCCTGAAGCTAAACTGGCTGCTTGCTGCTGCTGTATTAAACTACGGCCTGGCACCGTACTAATATCGTGTATTTGGCTGGTAAGATTGAATGCATACTGTGCTTGCTGAAAGATCTGGGACCTTAATTCACGGTATTATTTCTTGGCTTTTGGTGTAGGCATATAGTCTTTATACAGCATCTACTTTAATACTGGCTTACGTGGCAAATAAGAAGAACGAATATTGGTCTTCTAGCTGTAGGTATTTTTGGATTGAATATTGTCATTATTGCTAATTGTTGTCTCTTCACTCTCTCACTCGAATTGTGTTTGCAAAACAGTTTATAGCTATTTTCAAGAATATACTCTGCCGATTGCAATAGTGCACTTGTTAACTGCTCTTGCCTCAGCATACGGTCTATTTCTGTTAGTGTTTTTGGTAAGCTCATTAATTTTATTCTGTCATTCTTTCTTTTCTATTTTTCCTAATATTTCCTCTGCCTTTCATGCAGCCCACATCTAATAACATGCGGCAGTACGCTTACCTCGGCTACATTATAGCTTTTGTATTCTCCGTTGCGTGCTTATTTAATGTCTGTGTGCTTTTCTTTGATAAAGATCAGTTTTTGTCGGAATGCATAGGAAACTTTCCAGTTGATGACAGCGCTGATGCTAATAGTACTATTGCTAGCGATACATGCTCGCGGGCATACAACGCGTTGTTACCGCTCTCGATTTTATGGATGTTGCTTATTATAATGTTATCGGTGAGTATCGGAAAGGGAACAATAATAGAGATTGTGGAATAAGACGATAAATTTATATTCGTCTGTTAGTATGGATTGATTTACTTAACAGTAATTATATGTTGAATTAGGTATATTGTTCGATGGTTATTTCAGCATATGCGAGAAGACTTGCCGAGAAAGAGGAAATTCGATCGATTGAACGACAAGCAACACACTAGTAAAAAGACGTATCACATTTTGTAATATATATATGTAGAAGAGGCTCATTTGCACTCAAGTAAATTAAACGTACAGCCGTACACCTTAGAAACTTTCAAACACCTCATTTTCAGTTGATCCGATTCTTGAGATATAGGTTGTTGGTTCCCTATCAACCATCTCAACGTGAAACTCATACACACATTCTCAAGCCAAAGACTGTCAATTGTTTCAAAAGCTGTGCACAGTGAAATTCACTTTACGAATGTCGCTTTATAACGAAGTTCTTTCCAGAAAGGATTCATATATTTCATATAACAAACAGTTCACTTTCAGGTTGACGAAGCAAAATCGTGGAACGAATGTCTTCGTTAAAGTGAATTTCACTGTATATTTCCTATAATGCACCCTTTTCTTTTTCAGAGTTGAAAGTGATGAATACCTCGGTGATGCTGTTCCTAACGGTAATTTCTACAATCGTGTTTTTTGGATACAAGTACTTCTTTATCCCCAATCCAAATATTGACATCTGTAACTTACATTAATCAAATAAGATTATTGAAAAGAACGTTGGTTCTAAAAATAATAATAAATAGCGCAATAGTTACACTTTATGTTGTTACGGCACGAGTTTGCAACCATATGGTACATTATGTTATGGAACATGTATTACAAATGACAATTATACTCTTATTATTATGACATTAGCGTTAGCGTTAGAACATGCCATGGCTCTCTAAAATTACGCAAACCACGTGCATTATACCGAATTGACAAAATTCGGTTGGTCCCTTTCACAAACATGTTCGCGTACCCTTGCGTCATTGAGGGAGCGATTGAATTAGTTACTAGATTGAATCGCGTGACGTTCAATATTGAACCCCTGAAAAATTTTGTGTGGCGCCAAAGTTCAAAAGAACGAGTGTTTTCCTTTAAAATCATAAAATACAATAGAGATGGATCAACTAGTGTCAGAATATGCCTCAACGAGTGAAGACTCTGACGATCAAACGGCTCTCAAGCGCTCTAATCAAAGCAAAACCTCCACACAAATAACAAAGCGATCCAAAATCGATCTTGCACCAGAAGTCAGCCTTGAGGTATGCTAATCTACTACCAGGCCACAACATCACCTCTTTACCTCCTAGTTCACCCTGTTATTCGTTCTTTTCTTCCACTTTCCCTCGCTCATCCTTTACAAATCCTTCATTGACACTAGTTTTCGCTGTCCACTCCATAGGATCAAAGACTCTCCAATGCCTTTTACACGAAACCCACCGACACTGAAATAGCCTTTAACATTCCATATGAAGATCTTTCCCGACCCGTGAACGGACCTTCTAATCCATTCTCCACGCGTGTGATGAACCAAAATGTCTTAACTGGACACGTAGAGGAACAAGTGTATTCGGAGATTGCATTCAAGACCCAACAGCGCACGTTTGCCTCGTTTGGATATGCACGAGATCCTACTTTACTCGACAATGTGGCTAGTGGGTCAGCAGAATTTGTAGGCAACGTAGAAAAGGCAATTGCAATGAACGGAGCCACAATTTATGATCCCACACCAAAAAAGAGCGGACCCGCACGATTGCCGAAAGGGGATTCGGCAGTGTTGGAGGGTGAAAATGCATACAAGGGACCCTGGACTGGATACCACGGAGAGTCTATCGGCACACCAGTAGGGCCTCCGGAAGGTGCGATTAGAACTCAAGCCGAGCCCGTTCAGAATCTAAAGAAGCAAGTCGAAGTTGGACAGGAGACGACTGTATTTCATGGTACGTTTGAATGGATCAAATTCTTTACAGCAGTGGGTTGAGCGAATGGTTTTAGATTAGTTATGTTAATCAAAGTACTTTTCCGCGGTAGGCCAATCGGAGTTTGACTATCAGGGCAGAACTTACATGCATGTGCCGTTGGATTTGGATGTCAATCTTTTGAGTGAACCGGGATCTCAAGAATGCTTTATACCTAAACGTTGCATCCATACATGGTCGGGCCACACCAAAGGTGTATCTGCCATCAGACTGTTCCCCAACTCGGCACATTTACTACTCTCTTGCAGTTTGGATTCCAAAATCAAAGTGAGTTTATACACGAAATTTTGACAAGTTTAAAGATGACTACATGATTAATTTCATTGGCCTTTGCAGATCTGGGATGTATATCATGATCGCCGGTGTCTGAGAACATATATCGGACATAATAAAGCTGTGCGTGATGTATGTTTTAGCAACGATGGAAGGCGGTTCTTGTCTGCCAGCTATGATAAGTATATAAAATTATGGGACACAGAAACTGGTAAGAAAATATATATGTGTTGTCTCTGCCACTATAAACAACATTAAATACTGTTCTGTGATAGTATACTTATTTGATGTTACTTTCTTTCCCCGTCATTTTGCTCTTTGATTACATTAGGCCAATGTATAAAAGCATTTACTACAGGAAAACTTCCATATGTAGTAAAGTTTAACCCCGATGAGGACAAACAACCCATTTTCTTGGCTGGGTGCTCAGACAAGAAAATCGTACAGTTTGACATCAATACTGGTGAGGTCACTCAAGAGTATGATCAGCATCTTGGAGCAGTGAATACGATTACTTTTGTCGATGAGAATAGAAGATTTGTCACGACTTCAGATGACAAGACTTTGAGAGCCTGGGAATTTGACATTCCCGTAGTGATAAAGTATATTGCAGAGCCACATATGCACAGTATGCCTGCCGTTACGTTGCATCCCAATAGTAAGTAGCTTGGCGATTATTATCACATCTGTTTGGTTAGTTTAATTTGTGAACGCTTTGTTAACGTATGCTCTACCATCTTAGAGAAATGGTTGGCATGCCAATCTCTAGATAACCAGATTGTAGTCTATGGAGCTAAAGACAGATTCCGATTGCATCGTAAAAAACGGTTCACCGGACATTTGGTTGCAGGATATGCCTGTCAAGTCAACTTTTCCCCCGATGGAAGATTCATCATGTCTGGTGATTCGGAAGGGAACATGTGCTATTGGGTATGTACATAGAGTTAAGTAACTGTCGAAAATTCACTAATTGTAAATCAGTAACTTATATAAAATTATTTTACCGCTAGGATTGGAAGACATGCAAGCTACTAAAGTATTTATCGGTTACCATTCGCAATGGAGTTTTTGCTGTTGACCTTGCCGAATGATAGCTTACATGCCTTTATGCTTCTTGTTTAATAGAAAGTACAAGACCCATGAAATGGTTGTAATCGGATGCGAATGGCATCCACACGAGACTTCGAAAGTTGTGACATGTAGTTGGGACGGTCTAATTAAATTATGGGTAAACCGCGTCTTTCAGTAAAATTCAAACTGTTCAGAATATGCGCGATGCTAACCGTTTATTTGCATGTTTAGGACTAATATGACGACTTGAACCATGCAAAGCATAATAAGGTTTGTTGCATCATAATAAAATCTCTTGTTACTTGTTCAGTGACGACAATTTGAATCTAGGATTGTAATTCGTTAATTGTGGTTTACCTTATTTAAAAGCTTGGGTTTTTACACAACTTTTTTACATAGCAATTTTTTCCCAAGTTTTAGAAAGTATGTTCTGCTCAAATCATCATAAACTATATTGGAAGCTCTGACACCTTAACATTAATTAGTGCTTACAGAGAGATATTGGATACTAAAAGTAGGGAATTTTTGAGAGGAGAATTACAACAAGCTTCTCTGAAAAAATTGTTTAAAATGGTGGTAAATAGTCTTTAAGGCCAATTAACACTGATTTGTACATCACTCATGCCCAAGAACAACAGACTTGAATAAAAATGGAATGGTATACTAATATTAATACTATCTTGCTGAACATTAACATTGACCATTGAGATATTCGCAAAACTTTATTTCGGCATACACAAACACTCTCCTAAGTCGGTCGTATAAATGGAACAAATTTAAATTTTCTTCACGCCGCGAACCATGGAGAAACTACTCCGGCTCTAATTAAGGCGATCGATATATTCAAATATTGCCAACAGCCATAATAATAGTGTTTCTGATCAACGGTTGACACAATCTTGTATTTTCTAGCGATAAGGAATTGTTTTACTCGCAGTAAATTATCGCGAATGTTGGCCAGATAATCTGCAAATAATTGTATAAACATTACAAAGCAACAAACCAATACCAGACATCTACATATCTTTCGTTGTTTACAATGATAATCTTATGTACATTGTGCAGATGAGCTTGCATATATTCCAAATAATTGAAATAATAATACATATAAAAATATCTTATTCAAACTAATTCGCTTTCAGACTTGCTGGAGAAGAAAATAATAGTGGGCAAACGAAAAATCCAGGTCTCGAGTAATTCACAATAGTAAGATTGTAATTTATTCTGATTGGATGATCGTTAACCAATTTGTATTGAATTTAACCAATAGTGCGTTTGCAGACGACTAATTGTTAATGCTTGTATACAGAACAAAGAAACGGATCTTCCTTCCTCATTATAAAAGAATTAAATGGAAGCTAATTGTTTCCAGGACCCACCAGCAAAAAAAACATTGACTAGATTAGATTAGACTGTTGCTGATCGACAAATCTAGTAATCAAGAATGAGCGTGTGTTTCAAACACTGCGTAGAAGGGAAAGGGAAAGAGGAATATTGTACGTCGAGGAGCGGAGCGGCATTTGTTTGTAACCAAAACTTCTCTAATAGTTCGTCTTGTATCCGTTATTTTGGATGTGTCAACGTATATTACTACTTTTGAACAGTGTCATTTATGAATCCTTCTTTCATTATTAGCATAGTTCATATAAACAAACATGACCACGTATCATCAAATTTAGAATACAGTAGTTACTGGAGAAAGTCTATTGATAGATTACAACTTGTGTACATAATTGTTTCTTCAAAGTTGCTTATGGTTGCAAATACTACAAATACTTGCTTGTATAGTTGGTGGTATTGTTAATATTATTCATTCCATTGCCATAGTATGTGACGTCAGCGTTTTACAGCATAATTTTCGTTATTTTACAGCTTGCTTTTTGGAAACGCTATCAATTTAAAAAGACGATCTTTACGACAACAACATGTCCGCAACAAAAATTTTGCCCCAAACCCTGGTCGATGTTTGCAATTACCAAAATCTTTAATGACAATGATATTAGATATCCGCAGATTAGCGGTAAATAGTAATACATATTAATATGTATTAATATTAATATAATTTTTAGTGTTCAACTAGTACTAGACAATGCGCTTCCGAAAATGGTATAACGTACGGATGGGATGGATCATTACCACCATAATAATAAACAAACGTTCATGTTGCACTACTTCGGGTAACCCGAGAGACATGTGTTGGATACCCGCCAATTTAACCGGTCATACCCGCAATATTGTTTTGTCACAGAATACAGGAATAATTATTACATTTACGAACCCGAGAAACATGGTCGAGACAAAGAGTAATATTGTTAATATTATCATCGATGGGTTGAGAAACTTTCGTCTCGTCTACCGGTAATGAGTTGAAGTATTCATGCCATTGAACAGAAGATAATCCAAAACACTTTCGAAACATTTATTATAACATCACGTTGTTGCACATACCGTGACAGGTTACGCTACTAGTATACACTATTTGGAATACGTGCATACAATTAATTTAACAAAATTAAGCTTCTTTCCACGATAATACTAATGCGAATATTCTCTACCACGCTCTAACCATAACTGGTGTCGCAGAGAGTTTTCCAGCATTATTAAGAAACCAATCGAATTAATCGATGTAGTCTCTAAAACGTTTCCAGTCAAACGATATTCGGGATATTCAGGCGACGGATAATCCACGGGAGCTAAAAATTCGAGTGTGGGAAATTATTATTATGCACACACCATCAACAAACTTTAATCTGCTTGACACATACATACAGTAGACTTGTAAATTCATTGGTTTACGTCTTCGAGTTTACACAATTCCGTTTGCCATTTATTTCGTCAAATTTTCAGAGATAAATTGTATGGTGATGCTAGAAACTGTCACAAATTAAACTAGCAAATTTTTAAGGGGAGAACGAAACTTTTGGATTGCCGTGTGGGAGCCAGTAGATTGTCAGATGATTGCCAATGGTTTCCTGTTTAATTATGTCGGATAAGATTACAAGATTTATTGGTTTAAGCTAACTTTATCAACTAGTTAAACTTGCATAAACGACCTGCTTTGCATAAGACCACCACCACACATGATAAACATGCCGGGTTTTCCTCCCTCGTTCTCTATACTGAATTACAATATCAGCCCACTTGAAACAGCGCTGCTTGAATTTGAATTATTAAATGCAATGAATAGCTACGCCATCCTGTGTAAAGAGAGTCGATTTGTACATAGATAACGAATGATTGCGTAGGCGTAATGCCTTTGGTGTACATGTCAGCGTATCGATAGAGATTTTCATTTTTGGTCACTTAAAGGATAACACAGATGATCATTTTTAATGCTCACACATGAGCACTTGTCTAATATGGCAAAACTGATGTTACCTTGTCCTCCGATTAATTGTTATTAAGGTTTGGATCTAAATTCTAGTACAAATTCTTCTATTCGGCACATTTAAGACAAAGGGTTTTTTGTTTTGTGTAACGCATACTTTTAAAACATAGTACAAACATTATTTGGTAACATTTCATAATAATCGCAACGATATAGGCCGAAATCGAAGGAAATGAAAATTTAAAGAATACAGGAGATAACGGACGATGTACCGGTTATGAACATTATTAATACGCTATGATAACGATTGTTCTAGTACATTTGGTGTATCTCGAATAACCACAAAACATGATCACAGCATGTTCCACACGTGACCAATACTATATTTGATATATTAATATATAACAGGCAAACGGTGAAAACAACGGTGAAAAAGTAACGAACACGCACTCACTCATTGTCAGCAGTTATAGACCCCAGAGTTTTTAGCAACATTCTTTTAAATTTCAAGACGGTTAGCCCTGATACCGATACGTCTCTTGTCAACTAAAAGAATCTGGACTGCTTCAGTGGACATTATAATTAGCGTGTATGATGATGAATCAATCAAACATATTAATTCTGTCTATGACAATTACCACACTGAGTGTCATTATCATAGCATACCACTGTATATTACGATTTACTCGATTACGAATAGCCTTGTAAGTAATGCCTCTCTCTTATGCTGTAATGTACATGCAAACCTTAGGTTTCACGAAACTATTCAACTCATACTTCCTTCTTCTTCTTTTACAGCCTATTAGCATCTGCTGTAACGTGCGCAATGTCAATGTTTAACTATTACCGGGCAAAAGCCTCGGATCCACACGTAACCAAAATATATCAAATGGTCAGCATAGTGTCCTCGGCATTATACGCAACATTAACTAATATTGCCTTTCTCGACCTTGGACGTCGATTCTATCAAAAAAACGCGTGGAAGACCAAATTATGGCACCTGACAATTGGCGGAACAGCCATTTATAACGCTTTGGCATTGACGCAATTGCTGTTGCTATCAGACACAACGAGATATTCGCCCAACTTTACCGTTAGTGTGGCTGAATTCGTATCGGGATTTATTATCGCGGGGTTAGCATTCCTTTATACCTTCAAGCCGATTCTATCTTATGCATTTTCATCATATGCATGTTACGACTGTCCGTCATCATCGACAACACAGCCCACCACCACTCCCTGTTCGCAATCTGTTGTTTATCCGATATCGGTTTCTTCTCGGTCAGCGGTTTTTTCTTCTCGGACACTTTCGCTTTCGAGTCATAAAACGCAACCACAGAATATAGCCGTCGGTTTTTGGTACTTTATAACTACTTCGATTGTGGGGATATCCTGTTTTGCGTTTAATCTATACTTTACACTAAAATTACACGATTTGTGCTGGCCGACTGTGCATGCGTTTGACTACTTCCACAAAGCACTCTTTGTAATGAATTTATCGATACCATTACCTAAATGTGTGGCTGGTGCATTAAAGAAATCCAGAGAAAACGCTGAGGAAGAAGGCGGTATAGGCAATAAGATTGCTATAGTTGGAAAGTTTAGAGGCAACGATGCTGGGAACACACACAATATCGAGGAAGCCAATAAGACTGCTACAATTGGAAACGATGTTGAGAACACACACAATATCGAGGAAGCCGTTATGGACGATAAAGCAACAGCGGTTGGGCCGTGCAAGAGCAACGATGCTGAAAACGCAACCGACAATAATAGTTGACGCGTCGAGCAGATGCAATAACAAACAAACATTTTACCTATTATTTATCTACTAATGTGTAGTTAGAACTATAGTAGCAGAAACTGTATAAATGTATATGACGATAATATAATAAATCTGAATTAGAGATTAGATTCTGCTAACGATAGTTATAAAGTACGCTTTGAATGACAAAAGCCCTTTAGTGCACCAATTTCTCTATCGATCGAGCATTGTTTTATTGAACTGGTGTGCATTGTACCAGCTTCACATAAAACCATGTCTTGGCTGGGTAAGGTTTTTTGGGAGAGGAAGGTTTTGCTCAAAACGACCGAAAAAGTCTTAGTCTTTAGGATGCCAAATCAGATAACTATCGTGGGCTAGCTAACTTACGACGGGCAAAACTTTTATTCAAGGTGGCCAACATGTCTGGGTTCAAGGCGAACGTCTTTATCGAATTGGTGGTAATTAATGTTGCTTTCCGATAATGATTGATGACATTCGCATGGGGTATTTATAAAATTCGAAAGCCTTGGCTGCATAATATATTCTAAGCAATCATGGAACGAGTACATGTTACACGGTGAGTAAATTTACCTGCCAAGGAATTACCTTCTTGGCGTCTGCTAATGTTGAGCGAATGTACGTTATTGATTGGTGTAGTAAATTTTTTGCGGTTGGACAGGAAAAATTCGTTTACGCCAGAAAATTTGTATTCGTATACAAATTCTAAGACTTATACAAAGGGATTTATAAACATTGCGTTCTTGCGACTCTTCCCATTGGGCCAGCTTACATAAAGGGAAAAATTCAAACAAACAAATACGTACATAAAGCCTAGACAAATCTGCGTCACGGACTATGATCCAAACATATTTCGGTAAACGGTTGTTCTTATCTCTGTCCCTGTCTGCTCACAGCCAAGAAAGCTTCCCATTCGCGTGCGAGAAGATTTTTTAAAGTCATCGGATACTTTGTGCTTCACACTATCTAGATTTGGTCAGTTAAGAATTGATTAGATAAACCGAATGTTCACTTGTTTTACAACAGATGCGTGCTGTATACCTTTTACAGAGAAGCGTTACTTATCAAACAAAGACGGTATCAGTGATTATGTATATATTGAGTTGGAGGGTTTACAGGAAATTTAAAATTCACTATACCCACGCAAAAAACAAGGCCTTTTTTATTGATAATCTTCTTTCAAGGTTATTCTAATCATATCGGCGTGGAACCAACCGCTTATATGTTTATGTGCAATTTACCAGACCCAACATTATTATGCAAATTCTAGGCTTGGCAGGTTTGAAATCTCGACAATGAGCATGCGGCGTTCACCTAGTCTTTGGTTACAATTTCCATTGTGCATTGTTATAACGGTTTACAACAATAACACGTGTTTATAATAATATAACAATAAACCATAGTAATACAATGGACTCTCCCTAAGTGCAGCACCGACAGGACCATAGGCACGGCCTGCATTTATAGAGAATCTGCATTTATAGAGAGTAAAATACTTAATGGTCTTATAATCTCGGGACCAAACCAGAGCCTGCATTTAGGGAGGGAAAATATAGTGCTTGCACCTAGAGAAGCTGCACTTAGAGAAGCTGCGCTTAGGGAGAGTCCACTGTGGCTTTTAATTACTAATTGATGGTAATACCGGAGATGTCGAACTATAATAACTGTAGTTTTTACTTGCAATCAAAGTTGTGTGTAATTATTATGTTATTACATGCCTTGGCTTGGTACATTTAAAGCATAAATTAAAAAATTCTCTAAAACAATTACGACCAATAAGATAATTAATACGCGTTCTGTCTTAAACATACGGTACAAGGTTCGGAAAAAGCCTCGAACACAACTCGGTTTTTATCAACACAATGTGATTTCTTGTTATGGTTGCTAGACTGTATATTTAATGTCACGGCTGATGCTGAAATCCGGCTGAAGCTGAAACCATGACTTTTCATTGGTTGATCAGATTTTATTCTCTAATCCCATTGGTTAGTTTCAGCTTCAGCTGGATTTCAACATCAGCTCTCACATTATATCGGATACTAATATGCCAATGTTAAATGGTATTTTGTCCAATGAACACCATGCTTTTGTTGATATAATGTTTTGCTGAATAAAGTTTATGTATATTTATATATTACTCAATTTATGCAATAATCTTCATTATGGCCCTTTGTTACCATAGCAGTTAATGGTGCGCATAATGATTACTATATCCAAATGCAGTAAGATCAAAGGCATTGCATGACATGGACATCCTCCTCGGATAAAAATAATGAAAACCGTTAATTTCGCTGTTAAGACTAGAAAGGATTACTAACAAAACTTCCAGATTTACATGTTTGTAGTATCTGCAACTTTTATAATTTCATTAGGAGAAAATTATCACGATCTCCGTTTCAGAATTTTTGACCAAACAAATTCAACTTGCTGCGGTTTACAGCAAAAGTATGCTTCATGTTCTGCAATACGTACACTTAATTTATATCTCATTACTAACTACTTTTTTATTTGCGGTGCAATTGTAGTGCTAGCATAATGTCAGGAGTAGAGTTAAAAGTCCATATCATTCCATGTTTGCCAAAATTACTCGCCAATTACATTGCAAATAAATCCAATACCTATTTACCCGACATGACCATGCCACTCTTATGAAATTCTATCCTATCAGCTTCTTCAATGGCGCGCTGAATCCAATGCAAATTCTCTTGGGTGACAAATATGTTCTGGCGTGGGAACAAGCAGAGACGGAAACTTAATACACCAATTACATCCAGAAGCCGATATGTCCAAGGGAGAGCCGAGAAAGACTTGCACAAATGAACGGCTTTTGCACATAACGTTTACCCGTAACGTTGATGGTTTGTCTTGTTGTTGTGGAGCAACTTAATGAGGGTGCTATAATAAATTTAGTCGGTATTTATCGTTCGCGTGATTATGTATTTGTATGCGCAAAGACCAATCATGACTTTAACTCCCCTCATACACGATTACCAATCAGGGACAATTATGATTACACGATCGTGTAACAAACAATTAAAAGGCTTAGGATCCGGGAAATGTAGCCTTATTTGTCTATTCCCCGCATTTAGACACTTAATAATGCCATTTAAAAAATGGTTTGTGCATTATGAAATTGAAACTGCTTAAATGGCACGATAAGGTTAGTTATACGTATTATTATTATTCTTATGATGCTGGCAACCGCATAGCATAGCATCGTACCGCTATTCCATATTAAAATTAATTATATTCGAGACTCTGATAAAGTTGTTGTGTCTGAGTCTCAGTTCAGAACTCGGACACTCAATCCAGAACTCAATCCAGAACTAAGTTGTCAACTGAGACACCCAACTGAGGTACAACAGAGTCGCCTTTTCCCATCATATTACAGCATGTTGTGTGGCCGTCCGCATGATTGTAAATCATACAAACAAAGCATTATTGTTAGCGATTAACGATTTTGTGGACTTAATTTACTCCTCTCATCATAATTGTTTGAGATCTCATTTGATCGGTAAGAAGGATGCTTCCAACTTTCTAACTAGTGCGGATCATTAATTTTCGGAATTACTTATTTGTTCATAACCGAAATTAACTCGATAGTCCTGTACAAATCTCCTCAAATATAAAGAAAGTCCAAACTGCCCTTTCAAGCTCCAACAAAAAAGTAATCATGAATTCAAAAATCATTCTCCTGCTGATCGCTCTTGCCCTGTTTGCCAGTATGGTACCAAGCGTCAATGCTAAAACAGATTGCCCTAATCCAGCACCTTTTTGCGATAAGGGTAATTAATCGTTATAATATTATTTCTGTTGAAAAAATAATAATAGACTGTAATCTAAATTATATTACTTATTTCAGGAACCGAGGTGTGCATCTTCAATCAGAACACCCAAGAATGCACATGTTCCTGCTGTGACGACAATGGAACAAATTGCGACCAAAATTTCCCTTAAAAATCATCACAAGAAATCTTTGATTACATAGAGAAGAGGACTTGATGTCATTCTTCTTTGTTATACTTTAACTCGTGGCAATTACGTTTATTCGTTTATTGTACAACGAGTCTAAATAGAATAGATGGCATTCATAAATGTGCTTTTTTTTTTTGTCTTCTCATAAAGGTGTTATTAGATCTTTTTTAACCAATCGTCGTTATGTTGTAATAAAGTATTGACGCTTTTGTTCAAACATGTTATTGAAGCGTTTAAACGTGTGTGGCAATATGTTTATCAAAGTGTATATCCACCCCAGATTCATCGTACATTCTTGTGACATAAAGATTTACCGGCACATCCTCTCAAGCATCTGTTTGCTATTGGCGTACACAATGTAAATCTTTGTATTGAAATAGATTAATTGTCCGGAGCGTAGCGAAGGTCTTTCTATTGTTTTGCTGTATGCGGTCTGATCCCTGACCCCCCGGTATTTACTCCATCCTTCCAACTTTCAACGTTAATTAATATGTTCGATCTTAAGAAATTTAAAAAAAGCTTGGCTGGTGCTTTTCCGAGGGTAGTGCATTCAGGGAGTTTGTATTAGCATATTGCGTGATACTATTAAATAATGATATGTTATATTGTGCTTTATTAGTTCACCGTAAATACTGATCTATGCTTGTCTGTCGCTTGTCTCTCATGTTCACTTGTTTTATTCATTAACTCTGACTTTCCTTTTTTTTTTAAATCAGTTAACATATTCTGTTCGAGTTTTCTCATTATTGCAAGCATACAAATAAAGCTCATATTTTTGAGCATCTGATAAAGTAATCTTATTTTTGAGGTACGGTAAAAGTATAGCGTTTGTCGAAAGACGAGGGTTTAATACACAGTAAGTCCGCTTTAACGAAGAGCTCTGTTCCGTCAAAAAACTTTGTTAATGCAGACTTCTATATCTATAACAAATTTTTATATATAATCACGTAATATCCGTTAAAGCGAGATTGTTTATTTAATTCTGTACGTTCCATCCTACCCATTCTGTTTCTTAAATCCTCTAAACACCAGGCAAATTGCGTAGAGGATTCAGTTAACAGAAAATGATCTATTAACTATATTCAGCAAATCCAAATAATGAAATTAACTCGGGCATTATTGGAATACGTAACACCCTTGAAGAATACAGATGTCAACTTATGACATTTGAAATTGTGGCTTAGAATATGAATTTGTCTTTTGCTACAATTTTGATCTAAATTCCAATCTGACATACAACACTAATATCTAAGGAATCATTTAAATGTATCATATAAGAGGGTTGAATGAATCAAGCGGTCAATTTCTGGGTTATGTGAAACATTCTTAACGACTTCTGGAACTAGCGACAATGTTTGCATTGACGCCGGATCAAATTTGGAGATCAATAACAGAAATAGAAATTATTTAATTATCCCAATAGATGACATGGCCTAAATTAGAAATTATTTATTTTTTACATGAACGGTAATGCGTGACGGATTATCAACTTGGTATTTTTTCCCCTGGAACATGTAGAATGCCCAATAAGCGCAAAAAAACCCAAAGCTTTGGATACTTTATCAACAGGAGTCAATGACAAGAGACACTAGTTTGGATTTGATTGTTATTACGAATGCAATGAAAACTTTCCGGCTGATGGATAATACCACAACTTATTCACAGAATTTATCTGCATTACATATGGTGCTACTTTTAGAAAGACTTTTGGTAAGATCCTAATATTAAGTTGATAATCCGTAGTAGTACCTCGAATATCAAACTGACCGAAGAAAAGGTAACCATGACCTCGAAAACAATTCTTCTGCTGATATCTCTACTCTGTTTGCCAATACGATACCAAGTATCAGTGCTAAAGATTGTAACCTTTTTGCGACCAAGGTCGTTATTCATAAAATTGGTTTCTTTTATATAAAACATTGTTTTACTTATTTCAGAAAGCGAGGTGTGCATCTTCAACGACAATTGCTCACAACATTACCCTTGAAAGTATTGCAAGAAGTATTTGATTATATAAATAATCGACCTTGTTACCAGTCGTTAATAAATCGTTAGAAAAATATTGACCACCCGAAAATACCATATTCATATATTCTCGCGGCCCCGTGTCAGCGAAAGATGTCCGATCATACTCGGAAAAGTTTATTGTGATATCAATCAACATAACACACACACAATATAATTTGTACGGTAAACTTATTATCAGTCGACATATCTGGGCGCCATGCGGAAACCCAATTACAACCTGCAACTTTTGAAAAGATTGAAAATGGCAAGCCGGTGATTATTACCAATAAAGCCGGCTGTCTATTTCAGCAATAGAGTATTAAATAATTTATTGATATACGTAGCCTATTCTGCACAGTATGAAATACTGCTATCATGTCTATCACGAGAACTACGCCAAACCTGTCATGGCCATTGTAAAATCTGTGTTTCTGAAACAAAGGGGAAGGTAACACCGCCAAGCATATCTCATACTGATACGCACTTAGCAAAGTCTGAGGCTTTCTAAGATCTTTAAGTCCTCTCTTACAATTACTTTATATATTTAAAAACAATGATCTTCGTAAGGTAAAAGTTGCAGTGGCTTACCAACATGTACTTAATGACTCAGGTTGGGACCTCTTTTACATACCATAATAATAACAGGCTGTTATTACTACGATAAGAAAATATATTATATAAGTTACGTCATCTGTCAATGCCACCCCAAAATAGTAGTGATTATAGTAATATGATTGTCAAACGAGGGCGAATAAAAAAAAACCTGAATAATATCTTGATATACCCATCAGAAAGTTGCTTTCAACAATTTCTCTCAAACTATATTGTCTCAGTTGAAATCATCTAGCGCTCATAGATAATAAATTTTCTAATTAGCAATCGGTTTAATCAATTTTTCAAAGAAAAAAGTGCCTTTATTACGGTAATATTAATAGTACAAATTCTATGAATATTGGCGTTGAGTAACATTTACGAGCCATGCATTGCTTAAAGGTTATTTTTGATTGGGACGTACGAGCACACGATCTCACATTTTACGCCAATATTTGAGGTGACTATAACGCAGTTAACATCGAGCTAATATTAGTTTTAAATATTTTTTTATTATTTTGTCTAGATCTTTTGTCATTAATTCATATAATAATTATTAAAATTCAAAGTTGACAATGAATTACACCTTCGAGTGTTTGGAAACAGAATTGATACCAAAACATCAGAGCAAAAAGCAGATAGCGTTGAAAGAAAAGAAAGAAAAAAGGCAACGCCAAAAACTTTTCTATGGTCGACTTGCCGATCACTCCAGCCTTTTGCACGGGAACTAACATTATTATTATTATTATTATTAGATAAATAGTACCATAATCGGCTCGACAATGAGATTGCTGATGTTCACACATATAAATGAAGATTTAGGACTAGTCAAGTCAATGTTAGGCTCAACATGACCGAAATTTTCAATGAAACTTTCGATTCTCTCGAAAAAGGTTCAATAGCACCAACGAGAAAAGCTGTTAAACACACCAGCACAGAACCTATTGCCTCTCTTGAGAGGACATTTTTATTCTTGGTGCTATTAATTGTACTCTATTCGTCTGGCATCTACTGCGCATATGCTACGATAATTCTACAATACTATTCAGTGTACAATGGGATAGATGGTTTCATTAGAACATACCTGTATCTCATAATATCGTCAGCGTCTGTAATTTTTACTGTACGTACAACATTTGCACAATCCTCAACTTGCAACATATCAGTCATCTCTTATTTACAATGTTTTTTGTGTATGTGCAGTTCAGATCCAGATCGCTCTTACAAGGCCTTGTATTATGCACCGTGAATGCATTGTGGACTTCTTCAATGTACAAATATATTAGGCTTGAAGTCGCCGTAGCCTACTCTGTTATAGCCATTATGGCATTTGCAGCGCTGTTACTACTGTGGAGAAGCGGATCTTGGAAGCTGTTTTACCAATTGCCATGTGCTCAGATACAAAGTATGTGTGCGAAAAATTTCCCCGTTGGTTAACGAACATTCAAGTTGATATTTTATATTGTCAATTGCATTTTTCATTCACAATGGAAAAATATAGACGTGTATAAGCGATACCAGATATATCTAATGATTGCACATTTGGAGATGGCAATATCGTTAATTTGCTTGATCAGGATCCACGTTACGTTACCGGCTGAAATCATGGACTTTATTTACTACAACCACAATTGGCACTACGACGAAACCCCGTTTAAATATTATCTCCTTGTAAAGCTTCCTTTGCTTTGTATATTGTTTGTTCATTCATTCCTTGGTATCAAAGCCGTGAGTAAAAAAGTTGTATTGATTTCGCAAGAATTAGTTGAGTAAATATTAACGTGCGTACCGACTTGACAGGTACGGCTTGAATCCAAACGAATGGCAGTTGGTTACTATTTTGGTTCTTATATCATTATTGGCGCTATCGTGGTTCCCCCTCTATTGTCATCATGTTCGTTTGAGAATTATTCATACACGGACTATCTCTGTGAGTAATCATACAGACTATTATTAGTTTTATGTCAGTTTGAGACTTTATTTACTAATACTAACACATAATTTGATGGCCACAGACACGAGTATGCTTGCCCTTCTAAAAATCGGCGCAGTTGTAATGACTTACCTGTGTCAGAGAAACTTTGGTAAAGGACTCAAGCAATACAGTAAGTGGTTGAAAGCATTGGTTATTGGCTTGGTTCTATCAATTTTACTTATCGTATCACATAATTTTACCAGCTATTCATAAATTATTGCCGAACAATTCGAGTCTCAACTTTTACGAGCGTTTGTAATTACCAATTACTGTATATATTTACTGGATATGTAAGTAAGAGATATTCCAAACTATATTAATATCAATGCAGTGTCGTGAACCTATGCGTTATATCCTGTTATTCATCTCTATTATAGACAAGTTGGAATATCCTATAAACTACAAAATATTGTTATAATTCCCAATCTGTCTGTAAAATTTGTTAAAAAAAAAAGTTTTTTTTTTTTATTCGAGTGCCATATAATAATAATAATGTCATCGCTTTCCAAACGTTAAAACATCACGTGTAAATAATGCGAGAGCAATGGCAATTTGACAAAAATTAACATAAACCGGAAATATTTGTGTTGGATTTTTAATTCGACTGTAGCTTCACGCACTCTGTCTAGTTATTTTGGTAAACAAAACGACAATAATAGTCGAATAGAAGCTTTGCAACATTGAGGCTATTAAATCAATTTCCCAATGTCGATAGTAATAACTTTGCGATTCGGCTAATCTTTGAAATATTATAATCAAGCTTTGTTATTGTTATTGTTGTTTTGAATAACCGTCTCGTCTCGTCTGATTGTTATGCGTGTTCGTTTAAGAGACATGCCGTGGCCTTTATAAGGTTGAAAAGCATTATTCAATCAGGATTGATTGTCAATAAGCTAAGCCTTGGAATAAGAAATTGTTTATCAGTATTCATTTTTACTAATTGCCCGAGACGAGATTTCTCACTTGTTCAGTTCCGCGACGTTATTTCAGAACAAATGTACCAATTAAAGACTCTGATATACCGTATCTAAATTTATGCTTTCGACGATTACAACCAATTTCAAAATTAAAAATTGCATGTTTTGAAATTTACTTTTCGAGCACACAAGAGAAAATGAAGGAGCAGAAGAAATGTTTATTTCTGGTATGTAAACTTTTACGCTAAACCCCTATTTCACAGCAAACATACACTTGCCATTCTTATTATGCATAGCTTGAGCTTTCAGCCTGACGGCAAACCTTGGAATCAAAAAGTTCGGTACAAACGTGAATGTTTGGAAACGGTATATATAAACTTGTGCAACAAACAAGCGTAATAACTTTGTGCAACAACTCCATGAAACACAGAGATTATTAAGCAATCGGTTAATCGGTGTTATGCGCTGCAAAGTAATCCAAACATGACACTAATTACGCTGCATCAGGTATATGAAAATTACTTTCTATGAATTTGGTTCAAGACTTATTGACGATTGTAAATATGTTTTTTCTACTGCGTTTATATAACAGACTGTTGGTCATTCAAGGGTAATGTTGAACGCGGATGTAATGACAAGCACATATTTTGGAAATCTGTGTGTAAACCGAGCAGCGATACAATCGTTGAACTATTGCTATTGCTATACTGCATGCACACTTCGGATACGGAGTAGAATTAACAGTTTGGCAAGAACAATAGACGTTTTGTTTGTTTGAATGTGTCTTCAAATGCACCACTGCTTGAGCAGATCTTTGCAAGTCGATGACACCAAATTTCTCTTGCTTCGACAACTTTGGCTGCTCCAGCCCATATAAGGCATTATAATCAAAATACCCATAAACATTAAGATGTTTTGTAGTCGTATTAGTATTAGCACTATATACATTTTTTTACTTGATGTTCATATCAAGTATGTAACACAAATATCGCGCTGGAAATGTACAACAAGAATGAATGTACGATAGAATTAGCACCAGCAATGGAGCAGATCATTAATTATGAACATGCAATATTATGACATCTGACATCAAAAATTAGACTTCTAATTATACAAATAAAGTCATGGATAATGCATCTATTCATAATTCACTAATTATTGTTTATATCGATACAAAGCAACGACGAAGTAGACGCCTGTTCCAATTTATCGTGCATAGTACGACAATTATCTGGGGAAAACATAAATAGACAGATGGTTCTAAGACCGTATACTAGTTCGCATTGTCACGGTCTTTTTCTGGAATATTTGTTCAGCTTAATTCCTATATACATTCTTTTAAGTCCTTTTTTCATAAGGACTTTGTAAATTCTATCATTTATATTCGTCTCGTATCTTATTATCCAATCACCCTTCGTAATCACCCCACCCAAAATATTCCAATCGTGATGTCTTCCCAATCATTCTCGCGCTTCTTCCACTTTTTCGCCTGCCTCTTGATTGTAGTCTCCATCCTTTCATACGTTTCAGCTGCCCCTGCTCCTTCTGGTGGAGTAAGAAACCCACAGAATAAACTCAAGGTCACTCTAACTTTCACCGTAGAAGGGGACGGTGATGTCAGCAGTATCGAATCTGGCACTCCTACTCTAAGCGGACCTCCAAGGACTGGCAAGATTAAAAATCACGGAGGGTGAGTATAAAAGATCGACAAGAGAAGAGTCGAAGTGACGACTATATTGGAAACGTGAACTTGTTATAATTAACTGCCATACTATTCTATTTAGATTTGTCATTTCTGGCACTGTTAATGTCTATTATATTTACTATGGCGATTGGTCGTCAAGTGCTGATCGCAATACTCTCGAACATTTGATGAAAAATATTGGGTCAACCGGTTATGCTAAAATTCTCACTTCTTACACCGATAGTAGCAATTCGGCTCTCAGTGGGTAAGGATAGATTAATAAATGCATTAACGACACTTTAATGATCTGCCATGTATACTAGTTAATCCACTATATTTGTTATTTTAGCAATATCCAACTTGCCGGAACTTTCATTGATAAATATTCCGTTGGCCCAGATATTACGGACAATACCATGGTCAACGTCGTCGCGAACGCAATAAAGAAAGCAAATTGGCCAGCAGATCCAAATGCTGTTTATTATATTCTAGGCAGTAAGGATGTGAATCAAGTATGTAAACCGAATTTATTTCATATCTTTTTCGTAAATGTCAAACATAACGTATTGCAATCCAACTTTTTTTTCTTCTTCCCTTCTTCACCAGACTTCTTGATTCTGTAACAATTTTTGCGGATTTCATACGTTTGATAGAATTCGTGGGCAAGATCTCACGTACGCATTTGTTGGTGATCCCACCACATGTCTTGATGGATGCGCTCCGTTATATTCCGATTCAATTTCCCCCAACAATAATCCTGGCATTGATGGCATGGCCAGTGTTATCGTAAGTGCAAACTAGTAAACCCGACCTTTAAATATAAGTAAAAGAAATAGATGTTCTAACTTTGGCGTATTATTCCTTGTTTATCATTAGATGCATGAATTGGTCGAGAGTATTACAGACGGAGGTTATGATGGTAAGCATAAGACATTGTTACTGAAATCAAAAAAAAAAGTTTTATTTTTTATTTTTTTTTTGTTTAATAATATTTATAATATTATAACTAAATCCAACATCTTGACCAAATAGCCTGGTTCGATGACAATGGTAGGTCATTTATTAATTCTGAGCAGTTTGTCTATCAATTCTTGCTAGTCGATTATTAATTACTTGTTATATCATGATAGACTATGAAATGGCTGACAAATGTGTGTGGAACTTTGGCGGTAGTCAATTGCTTAGACCCGCCAGAAATGGAGCTTTCTATAATGTAGATGTTGGGCAGAAACAATACCTTCTCCAGCTACTGTGGCACCAAACAAAGAAATGCAGGATTACTAATTGATGGCTTATGTCAAGTATCAATAGTAATGAGCATGAATAATGATACAAACCAGTCATCATTAATCTGGTAAACTACTATGATACGAGTCTGTTTTTTAGTAGATTGCTATTTGGACATGGGCTGGAACTTTGTCTAGTTTATTTAATTAACAATTACTTATTACTAGCAATTTACTAAGCATCTGTATTTATTCAAGCATTCTTTGTAAAGTCGAGAACAAAATAAAAGTTTTAGCGTTTACGCCAAATGGCAAGTTTCGTGTTTCTATTAACAGCTAATACATTATAAACCTGCAGTAATTAGAGCAGACTCTTACAAACTAGAATTATCAAGACGAGAGACAATTCTTCATAAAATTTAAAGACACTGTCTTTCCTGTATTATCAAAATTGCAGATTTAAATCAATCAATTATAACCCGATATCAGGATATACAAAGCAATGGTTTTATAATAATACTTGCTTATGACAAATTTTAATTATTACCGTTTATAATCAGATAAACAGTTGGTACAGTATCAATTCACTATAAAATACCTAACCGTTTACGCGTAATTCTCTGTCGGGAATGATGAAAAATTTGAAGATCACGAAAGTGAATAGACCACAAGTTCAGAAAATATACAATCACGTATTTTATGCAAAGCGGAATTTACGCATACTAGACTCGTTAATTTTGGTTCGATTAATCAATACTTTCATAATAAGTAAAACCGGTCTTTTGTGACTTGTTAAGACGTACTAATATTCATATTCAACCTCTTCTAATTCGAGATAGTCATGACGTTTACTAAGAAAACAAATACATTACAGGTTTTCAAATTGTTATTATAGAATCAAACCACGCTTATACGGGGGGACAAAAGTATTGCACACTTTTATATTTATGATATTGAAAAAAATTTTATATGTAATAAAAAAACCAAAATTTGTACCATCTACTGTACCATTTGCCTAAATGGAATGTTTATTTTGATTTAATAAAACAGGTTGTGATGACCACAAAAAAAAATCAACAAAAAAAACCCCCCTACTTTTTACCTTGGCGCATAAAAGAGTCTCGACAATGCGCTTACTGATTCTCAAAAAGATAATAAAAACTAGGTTACAATGATGCAACAGTCGCAATAATGATAGAATGCCATCGCACAACAGTTCAACAGTTTTTTGCAGCCTAATCAGGAAATCTCTGCAAAAACGATCAGGTCGGCCGCGCATTCTCTCAATCAGCGGGATCGACAAAAATTGAAACCCGCTGTTACTGCGAACAAAAAACACGACAACAAAAAACTGAGAAATTACTAAAGCAATTTCTAAAGCTAAAAACCGACGAATTTCCACAAGAACGCTTCACCATGTTCATGAAGAAATGTACGTTCGTGTATTCCTTTAAAAAAGCCCCTCATCTTAGAAAAAAAAATCGGAAAATTCGACTTGAGTGGGCAATGGAAAGGAAGGAATTGGACTGTTGCAGACTGGAAGAAAGTCA